AGCGGGAAAAAGAAAAGAAAAGAAAGATTTCAAAAAATATTTTGTGCCTTTTAATATATATTACTTTGGTAGAAACCATACTATGTAGAAAAAAAAATTCTAAGTGTTAAGGTTTTAAAGCCAATATGCATTTTAAAAGTCTTCATATTTGACATTTGGGTACTTGAAAATTTTTGTTTTGCCACCAAAATGTCTATTTCTCATATTTATAGTGGCAGCAGCAACTGAAGGTCTAAATTGTATCTCTGTGGCTAGTTTCTCCTGTTTGACATTTTTACTCTGGCCTAGCAGCACTTTTAGGTGACTGAAACCAGTAAAGGAAGGCTTAAAAAAAAAAGTAATCCTTAGTTTCAGTCTCTTCTGTGAGGAATCACGTGGATTTTGTCATTATCACACAATGACAAAAAGCAGCATGAACAGCATAGAGAAACCCATTTATGTACTTTTTGCCAAACTCATGTGGAATCAGAAACACATTTTTCACCATCACAATATTCTGCAGGACTACCCTGTTGCCCTACTGAGGTTTGAAAGACAAAATTAAGGGATGTCAAGAAAGGAATCGAGGGTATTGCAGCTTGACACATAATGCTAGAACTTCTCTACCTGCTGATTAGTCACTCACAGTATGGGGAAAAAAAAAAATCACAGCATTTATCTACAGAAAGCTGCACAATATGAATGCCTACATTCAGAAAACAAAGTAGAGCTCCGAAAACAAAATGAAGAGCACTTCAACCTGCACTAACACAAGTGTAGTCACCCTTCAGTTCAGAGCCAACCATTACAAAATGAGCAAATAAATCTCAACCTGTGGACATCACTTACACATGGCATAAATGCTAATAACTTCTTCATGTTCAGAATATATAGGTACTAAGCACTATCTGTAGTACTGTGGTAAATTTCTGCAACATTTTGCAAACTGGAGAAGGAAGGAAGCCTCCAAATGTCATGCAAGGTTTCCAAATGCAGGCCTTTAATCCAATATACTGGTAAGCAAGGAAAACAAAAACAACTATTTCTATTTTCATGGCATAAAGCTAAGTTTCCAGAAGTCTTGAAGTAACAATGAAAATAAAAACACAAAAAAAGTTTCACAGTGTATTTCTCCTGCATGTACCCAACAATATATTTGTTTTAAAGTGCAAGAATGAGGCAAAACTAAAGTACCAGAGTGAAGAAGGATCAACAGAAATATGGCTAGTCGGGGTGTCACCTATAATACAAGATGGCTGCATCCTAACTACTAATTCTGAGATTTTTGGTTTCAAGGAAGCGTGTTCAGGTCAAAACCCGTAAAAGCAAAACACCTTTTGGCTTTATGAACCCAATGGGTAAGACTTAGCTGAAATGAAAGCATTTAACAAAGAGCTATGCTGTACCTCTGATCTGTGTGCCCTTCCAGGAAGAAAAAATGCAACAGTCAAACTATCAAATAGGATTTCAGCCTCAAGTATACCTGCACCATGGTAGACCCTTACTATAAAAAGAGCCTCTACTACTACAGCTCGATCTGCAGTGGCACAGTTTGCAAGTATTTGAAACCAAAATAGATACCGGCTGATACCCATTGTACATACACCAGTGTTTTATATGGACTGCAATGGCACAGAATGACTCCAGAACAGACTTAGCGTGAATATAGTTTCACATCTGGGAGCTGAGAGGGAAGACAACCTGTTGCTGGCCTGTACCAGAATAGAATCTGTGCACCCACTCTGACAGCTCAATAGTGAGGAAATGTGTGAGTGTGTGACTTCCCCTGCTCCAGTACTGCTTTGCCATACAGGACAGGCACAACGTGTCCCATCTCCTCTCCTAGCTGTACTTATCCAGCCCTATAATACAACTATAGAAGAGTAGATGTGGGTGAAAAAAAAGTTTTGACTATGTTTTGATGTAGTTTAGCAATCAACTGAAGAAAATATGCAGAAATATGAAACTAGTCAGACTAACACAAATCACCATTTAGCAATGTGCAAATTCCAGATCAAGCATTAAATAGAATATTTTCATTTCTCTAAGACAGCATTTTAATTTCTACTGGAAGCTATTCAGATGACTTCCTATACAATACTTTTACAAAGAACAACCAAAACTTCTCAATTCAAAGCAATGCTATCTTCCAATAAAAACTTCTCTACAGATCTTCAAGGAATACACAATAAAAAAGTTTTCTTTTCTAACATCAGAAACAATACTGGATAAAGCATATGACTCACATTGTCTCACTTATCTTATGAAATTAAAAGCTGTAACATGACACTGATTTTATTCTTACCCTTTGCACGAATCTTTCTTTTTGTGCTTTACTGTTTCTTGTAAAGAATACGGAAAATGACGCATGAAGTGGTGCTTGAAATCAACAAGGTAATTCATTCGAAGCCATAGTTCCTGTTAAGGAAAGCAGAGGATAGACAGAAAACATGGTAGTAAGTGAAATAAATCAATGCAATCATCTTCCAAAATCCATTATTGGAATCAATGAAAAACAGGAACTTTAGCTTCTGTTTGCAAGTTTTCGTATGTATTTACTTTCAGACACAAATGTGAAGTCCTGTGCATGAACCTGAAGGTTCACCAAACAAGGGAGAAAAATTTTAAGTCAAGGTTGAGCGAAAATATTTGATCCAAACTGGACCAGTATATTTTCTTAGCACATACTAATGTGGGTATATGGAATATTAAACCAAGTAAGTTACAGATGTGAATTGAAAGTGCTTTTATATCAATTTATCAGGGTGCTTAAAATCAGAGTGAACACTAATTTACTTGCATTGACTGTCCCGAGTTTTCCATTAAGACATATTCTGACACTGCCTTCATCTTTCCCCATTATTAGTGTACTTGTAGTTCAAAGCCCACTGACACAAAACATTTTCCAGTAGAAAGGCTATCCTTAAAGAAAAAGGATTTTTTTCAATATTTAAAAATAATATCACTTTGTGGGTTAGCAGACACTCACAGTCACCATTCCACAAACTGTCCAGCAGAACTCATCACAAAAAAGCCTGCGCTGCTATCAAACTGGTCAGGCAGAATAATGTTTTTTGATATTCAAGTATTAAGAACAGAGAATGATCGTTAAACTATTTCAAAGATTAATAGGTTTCCACTAGGCATATTCATAGTGGTTCTCCAAAGTGTCTCTAATAACCACTTTGGCCTGTAAGCCCAAGGGCTATTAAATAAGCAAAGCTTCCATTTGCAAACTGAGCCATTTGAATGCATTTTATATATAAAGGTGACTATAAAGGGAAAAAAAGATAAACAGTTTATCTTATCTAAAACACAATATGGTCCAAAAAAAAAAAAAAAAGTTGTATGGACATCAGATTTTTTTTTTTCCCCAAAACATCCTAAGGTCTTAATGTAACTGCGTGTACCTAAAACAGCTACATCTTGACACAGGAACGCTCTTTCCATGCGATGGAAATGCAGGCACCCTATGGCTAAGGGCAGCAGCTCTGCAGCACCCTACAGAAAAAGGCTAGGGGCAGCAGGCTGCCACAGGTATTTACAAGGCCAACGGCCTGCTTTGTGCTGGCTTCCGAGAGGCCTTCTAGAAGAGGGGAAAGGGGAACAGCATGTTTTGTTTGGACACACTGAATCCATCCCTCGGGCTGTGTACGTTGGATAACTCTGGTCTAACACAATGATTCCACAAATGATTTCCAATAATTATTCTATACGTAGATTGTTTGTTTAGCAAGCGGACCTACAGTCCTACACACAGGTAAAACAAAGACCTGTCGAGACATTCCTTCCAACTACTCTCAATAGCCAAAATGGAAAGAGAATAGTGTTCTCTTCCCAGTTTGCAAAATCTTTGGAAGAGCAGCAAAAGTTACAAAAAACAGCAATTCATTTATCAAGGACAGACAAAATAATTATGGCAAAAAAACTTCAAGGATATTTTCCAAAATTCTTATTGAGGTTTTGATTCGATGTCTTGTGATACTACCAATCATGACACAACATAGGTTGCACCAAGCAATTACAGGATCTCATACCACCTTTATCCCCTACCTTTCCAAGGGTTTAGGCGTTGTTCATTTCCACCCTCCCACCCCCATAAAATTTTTCAACACATAAAAACCAGGAACAAACACCTCCATCCTACACTTTGTTCAAATTTATACTCTAGAGGTTATCTGGGAGACAAAACGCTCCTCTTCTCCAGTACCACTTTCAGTTTCAAAAGCTTTTGTGCTGCAGTCTGCCAAGAAGGATTCCTGGAGACTATCGGTGAACTCATCGCTCAGTTCAACAGATTCTTTTCTAGAGTGAAGAGACTTAACAAAATCCAAACTCAAATTCTACTCAAAACCTCGGCTTTTTCTCCCTGAATAAAATATTTCTACTGCCTCCAATCACCAAATCACTAGTTTCCCATCAAACCAAAATGAATTGTCATTATTATGCCACTGATCACTTCTCCCTTACCATTTTGTATGTCTCATCATGTCGCTTTGTGAGTTTCCACAATAAATGTATTATACTAAGCACTTGCTGCATAAGCTGCTGAGATTCTGATTCCAAAAGGTTTCCAAGAATGGGAGCTGATTGTGCAGGAGATGCTTCAATCCAGCACTCAATCAGTAATGGAATTATTATCTCAATAAAACCTTTTAAGTTTTCAGCCGAGGACAGGCCTTTTTCTGCACTGTCCATTACACTTGCCAGAGACCTAAACAACAAAGGGGAAAAAAAAAAAAAAAGAAAAAGAAAAAAGATAAAGATCACACCTTTAAAAACAGATCAGAGCAATACCACTTTCCTGCTTTCTGAATAACAGGAAAAATTACTTTTTTCATACATTAACTGGTTGCTTGCTTTCTTGCTAGATATTTCAGTAAGGCAAAAAGGGAGTTCAAACCATCCACAACAAACCTGCTCCTGAATCTCCCTGCAAGTTTGTGTGCTTCTGTATCAACTTCTTAGATTTCAGTATTTCTTTCCCCATTATTATATGTAAAGTCTATAAAGGGGAGAAATATGATTTGCATCATATCACCTTCAACCAACAGATAAGAATTCACTGTACGTGGCACAACAAAAAAAAAAGCTTTAAGTTTTAAGCTCCTTGAAGGAAAATAATGAAACTGACTACAAAGTATTGTCAAATGCATGAGGTTTATTACAGTTAATAACCATTTACAGCTCTAATAAACATACTGGTTGTTCATATTAATAGAAAAAGAAAATCAGTCTGCAAAAATATAACTTTCATTCCCACCTGATGTTTAACTATAATGCTCTGGAGAGCAACTAGCTGGAAAATTATTAAATGATCTGATAATGAAGTTAAACAAAAATTATCAAAAAAATGAAGATATATAGTTTAAATTAAAAGAGCATCTCCCAAAAAGCAAGAAAACCAAGGACTCCTTTTACCCCCCCTTATAATACACTCTGTTTGCATTTCAAAAGGGATTATCAGCACAAATAAATTCAGGCAATTTTTATCCATTTTAAAAAGAAGGTTCTTTAAAGAAAGAAACCCCGGAATAACTCCTGCTAATTTTAAGCAATACAGAAGTTTCTGAAAGGGTTTCCAAATAACAAGAGCCCTAAAAAAAAAAAAAAGGCAACAATTTCAACTGATGGTTTTTTACATTGTTTTCCACGATGATTTTGTTTTCTAACTCACAGCAGGGAATTCCCATCATAATTCTAACTTCCTAATATACATCAAATTCGTATGCTGAGCCTCCTCTAAAACTCCTTTCTATTTCAGTGATGTTCTCCAACTGATTTTTCTTTATATATACGCCCAAAATAGGATCTGAAAAACTATTTTCTTTCTTTCCACAGATAGGCAGAGAAGTTCTGTTTACAAATATTTTAATTTCATATTGGATTAAAGAGGTAAAGCAGTTTTTCCTGGTCATCCTGTAATTTCCAAATTATCCAATTAGTTATATCCTTCTACGAAGCTACATTTCTCATGCTGTTGCAACCATCTATAATATGCACATAATAGAAAATTTTATTCTGTCAGTTCTCTCTGGTTGAAATTACTAAACTAAAACAAACACAGGTATTAACAAACTGTAAAAGGAGCAGGAAGAAGACATCTGCAAAGGAATAAAAAAAGTGCAAGATAAATGCAGGCTCCTTTTCAATGAAGGAAAGATGGGACAGAGAATTTAGATCTCCAGCACAAAATAAAACGGACAAGTGGAAACATAACTGGTCATAAGAAAAAAAAAGTTAGTTTTATCTTTAGTACCTGCTACAACTATCAGACATCTGAAAATTTTATAAAGCTTAGCATTAACTGCAGCAACTAACGTATGCAGTCAGTGTAATTTGTCCTATTTGTCCCTTTTTGTTGCTCTGTCCTTTCTATGCTGCAGACATTGCAGTACAGACACCAGTTTCTTTCAGACTATAAAGAAAGCTTAAGGTGAGTGGTTCCAACTTAAGACATTTAACTCTGCCATCTAAAGACAGAGCAGACAAATCCCATCTTCCAGTTATAACCACAATGAATTCTAAAGCGTCACTGGACAAGCCGGTTGATCCCAAGACCATAACCTCACTGAAAAAGTTAGGTTGTCCTGTAAATGCTATGCCATGACAGGACTACACACTCAGCTGAGATTCTGAAATGTCAGTAATTGGCTGAAATAGTTCTGAAGTAGTAGTCTTTAATCGTTTCTCTGAAAATAACACCTGATACTACAACAGAGCTCTGGAATTCGAGCAATCTATTTCTGGAACACAAAAAAATCTCCCCATTAAACAGTGAACAGTGCATGAAACCTGAGAAGTTGGCAACACATACCTGAAGATTCCTACAAAAGTATAAAACACACACACACCCAACTATTTCAGTACTTTTCTGAAACAAGGGATGGAAAAAGAAGGAAGAATCCATGCCAAAAGGGATACTCCACCTAGCTACTGAAAGCATTTGGGCAAGAATACTTAGCATAGCTTTCACGTACCCCTGCAAAAGAAGCCCCCATCTCTTAAGATAAGACTCCTCCAAATACTCAAGGTTAACAACAAAAGGGGTAAATACGATCTGATTGACAGTAACAGATGATGACAAAGTATTACTGTAATCTGTCCAGCATGCATCTGATTAGTGCAGTATCCTTAGCAATACAGGTTCACTGGAACTGGGAGAGTCTGATGTCAGTTACAGTGTTAATCTTTTTGTCACATATCTGTTATCACTATTCTTTAATGGTAAGGTGGCCCTCAAAAACACTACAAAACCTATTACCTTTACATGGGTATGAAATACTATTGAAGGGAGCTGCAAGATATTTGCATACCCCTTAAGCTGTCACTTTTCTTTAAAATGCTAATATTTTTATAAAGCAGGACCAAACAAAAAAAAACTGCTTAACATATGTCCCATTTGACAGTAAGAGGACAACAGAAATTCAGCAAAGGGAAGTCAAGGAAGCGTAAAAGAAACAGAAGATAAGGAAACAACTTTCTGCTGCTTAAAACAGGAAAAGTCATTGGAAGTTAAGAAGTTTTTATGGCTCAGAGTCTAAGCCAGGTTATTGTCCTCCTTTTTTGTGTGCACTGCCAATTGCAGCAAAGAAACACCCAGTACACAAGTGAACTGTATTTTCCATTTCTATGATGCACAGGTCACACCATATGCATATTTATTCACTATGCTTTGTCTTCCATTTTGGTCTCTCAAGTCTTCTTTGCTTTTCTCTGCAGCTTCATGTTGTCCTTTTCAGCAGAAACAGAAGCTCTACCATTTCTTTTCAGCACCACTTCCAGTCCAAAAAAAAGATCGCACACCTTGGTATCACCACATTTAAGTTGTGAAGGCTTTCCATTTTTCCACACCTGAAATGAGTTTGATGCAGAAAGCAGCACAGTCAGCACATAAGGCAGAGGATATATTCTAATAATCTCCTAATTCACTGTAATCTTTAATTCACACACAGTAGGAAGATCTAGCACACAACAGAAAACAATAAAGTCTTAAGATTTGCATTGTTGAACCATCCAGCATTCCAAGCTCAGAATCTACACGTTTTACTAAACATTCATACTGCAAACTGATTCTAAAAACCCCTTTCCATAATCACTAGGTTATCAATGAGGCGCCATCCCTACCCAATGAACTTGCAAGATTAAAAAGACACCGGAACTTTAAAAATTTAACATACTATTAGTGGTGTTTGGAAGCCTACTTTTTAAAGAACAAAGTTGAAACCTACTTTCAGTATTAGTGATGAGGCCATCAATACATACACACCGCGATTAGTTACTTATGGTTTGGTCAACTCATCATCTATAGTTAGGACTAGACTATTTGCGCATTGGCTTCTTTAAACAAAAACACACGCACTGCTTGAGATTTTGGAAGTACTCAAGGGGCATTACAGATGTTTTGCACCTCTTATTAGAAGTAATTTCTGTCCTTGCAGTTAATGGCTACAGCAGAGGCTTGGGAATGCCTGTAAAAGGCCACAGTTGGGATTGAAAGAGACAATTAAACATCTTCAGATTACTAGAAAAGACTTCAGTGGCAAATACAAAAGCCACCACGGTAACTTCCACTCTTAGGATTTCACAGATATCCACGAGAACAGGCTGTACTCTCCCTTTGTACAAAAACAACATACCAAAAATATGCGCAAATGCAATAAAACGAGAACATTTTAGTACCTTCTGCAGATGCCCCTTCTCTTTCCATTCTTCTGTTCTGCTGCCATCAGCTTGCTTTGCCAATCTCGCCTTGGATTCTAGCAATGTTTCCTTCTATTCTTCTGGCTTCTCCTCAGGCTTGCGAACGCCTTTTTGAAAGTATTTATAACCACAAGTGCATCATGGTGTTTCACCAAAATCTAGCTCCTCAGAAATGCGGAATCCAATTCAGGTGACACCAGATGTAAAGTTTATTTTCCTAGACCTTGGATACAATGCACCTTCAGCTATTACAGGGCATGGTATATCACACACTGCATGTCATTCAGGGCACAATACAAGAATCCTCTGATATACGGTGGGTTCAAAACTATATGCTTCTGACTGCAGAGATGAAGTCCATAGGACTGTTTTGTGCTCAGTGCTGAACCCTTCCCCCCTACCTCAAGTGGGCTTCACTAGTCTACTTTCCAACTAAAGTTTTACCTGCAGCAGATATCGTTGGTCATGACTAAACTCTTACACTATGTTAACAACCACTTTTATGAGCATAAGCTGCACATTTTACTTAGCTTAACATAAATTTCCTGTACCTACCACAAGTACCAAGAGGAAGCTTAGGACAGTGAGAATGGAATGGTCATTTGTGTGTCTCCATGATAGAGATGGAAAACACCTGCTAATTCAGGCCAATACCTGTGGTATTAAAAGAGAACACCTCTTCTTCTGCACTTCATTCATTCAAAGATATAAGATGGACATAGCAATGGATTAGGCAGCAGGTTTTATACCCTCTTCTGCCACTGACCTCCTAGGTGAATTTGGTGTAACTGCTTTATACCCCTTATTCAGTCTCCTCCAGCAGTAAAACAAGGATTGTGGTTTCTCTTCAAACCACCTTGATATCTATGCATTAGAATTGCTGTGTGATGGCTAAACAGTCCCCATTTTTCAAGTCGTCATTCCAGGTCTCCTACCAGCAGGCATGTAACATCTACAGTAATGCATATACATGAGGATGCCAATGTTTAAAAGGTACCATAAAGTGGGGTGGGAGGTTCCTCTCTAGTTTGAAGAGCAGGTAAATCAGGAAGGAGGAAGAGAAATAAAGATGGTTAGTTGTTTCTCCCTTAACTTCAGCTCACATCTATTTAGAGTACTACTAAAAAACACACAAACCTTCCTGTGACTAAGCACACTACGCCTTCTTCCATATTCATCAACATGTCCCAGACAAGATATCTTTCATCCATAGTGAAGACATAAACCAGTGAATTGATTAAAAATATCTAGAATAGGAAACTCAGCAGAACTTCAGGCAGCCAGACACATCTTATCATGCTGTCCTTTTTAAAACAAGCTATATTCGAAGAAAATAGACTCCTAAACTTATGATAGACTCTTGAAGGTAAAAGCACAAAGTAAAATTCATTATCACAGTATAAGAAACAAGCTTACATTTAACGTAAAGAAATTTGCCTGCTTGCCCCTGAGGTCTGTTTGATGTCCTCCAACAGCCTGTAGTTGTCAGTTTGCTTTCCAAAAAAAAAACTCACTAGAGTTGGTCTTCCAAAATGATTATGAATAGCATAAAATAAAGCTTTTGTTTGATAATGGGAAAGTTCATGATATACACATAGCACAGTTATCTGCTGAGTATTTCCATATTTTTAAGCCACTGCAGTAAGACTGCACATTACACTAAATGCCCTAATATATGGCTAAGGGACAATCCCACAATAAAAATTAAATAATTGTCTTCAACAGCAATAAACCACAGTTTAACATTGTGATCATACAGTTGACATTAATTCCCAAATTAGTTAATGTTTTCTCACCTCAGTCTAAATGATGAGTTGATCTTTGGTCGTAAGCCTCCATTTTCAAACAGTTGTATATGTTGCTGATTATTTGCATGGACCTTCCAACTTATACATACTGGGTTCCTCACAGAATGAGGACTGTCCTTTTGTTCTTGAAGCCCTTCATCCTCTATTTCACTGGATCCATCTACCACTGCTTGAAGAAACTTCTTGAGCCTGGTAAGTACATTCAGCCTCCACTGCTGAGAAGTTACTCTGCGATTCGGGTTAACAGAGAGCATCCAGGAAAGTTTCTCTCTGCTTTTCAGTCTTTTTGACAGTTGCTGGTGAGAAATAAGCTCTACAAAATTCTTCAACAATATACTGCTGCGGTCTGTAAGAAGAGCTGGGTATGCTTCCAATAAAACGTCTAAGACTTTCAATGAATCTTCCTGAATCCCCTCACTGATATGAGTCATGGCACTGGAGAGATGGGCACTTACCAAAGGAAAAAATGGAGCAATCTGTTCCGCTCTTATTTTTGAAGCCAAGAATTGCAGCAGGTGAACAGCTGCTCCTCTGACACCAGAATCTTTGTCTGTAAACACAGCTGCCACCTCACTTATTATATTTGAAAGGTGTGCATCAATTACAAATGGATACTGAGACAGGAGATCTTTGAGCCCAAGAAGTGCATTATGCTTAACCCCAGGACTATAGTGATGCATCTGTGAAAGTAGATCCTAAAAGGAAAGAAACATATATACTTGCTATCATTATTACTTTAAGCGCTTTAAACTTTCCCACCTATTTCCAGCACATTTTTCTTAAACACTCAAAAATACAGAATCTATTCTCATGATGTACTGCTGTTCATAGCAGTGTAAGATGTTCAGAACAGATATAACATTAGTTTAAAGTATAACAATGAACAAATCATCAAAATTCAATGACAGGAAAAACAAGATACTGTGACTTGTCCTGCAGGTAATTAGATAATCCCCATTCTTAGGTTTATGCACAACCCTACTGACTTAACAGAGGGGTGACCAAAAATAAGTCCTCTCCCATTTGTTCTCAAAAGTATACCTATGAAATCTTAGTCTCAACAGCTTTCTTCAGTTTAAGCAGAAAGCTGCAAGAGACAGAAGACAACACAAAGGAAGGAAAGCGGAACCACCACCCAAAGAAATACAAAATTTTTTTAAAAACATCATATTAGGAAGTCTACTTTTTGTCTCCCCTGTCCTTAAGTTATGATCCAAGACTTTCAAAAAACAAATGTTAATCCTAGATACTTAAATCAGTGTACACCTTTAGTTTCTGCACTGCTGAAAACCTTTCCCTTGGGTTATATGCTGGTCCAGCAATTTATTAAATTCATGGGTCAGCTTATTGTCAAGGACAGAGAGGCTATATTCAGATACTCTGCTGGGTTTAAGTGTTTGGTTTGTTTTTTTTTTTAAATAAATCTTTTTCCTAAACCCTAGTAAACCTAGATAAAGTACAAGTAATTTGCTGTCATTTCAGAATGTAATGTCACAGTATACCTTTATGTTAAGTTTTCTATTTTGCGTAGGAAGCAATCCATCTTCTTTAAGCTGCTCAGGAATTTGTATGGCCTTTGTTTTGAAGGTAGTATCAGTTGCATTCTCTAGTTTAGGCTTTTTTTTCCCAACTTTTAATTTCACTTTCTGGAAATCTTCTTGATGTTTCCTTTTTTTAGTCATTCTGATTCTCTGCAAAAAGATATTCAGAATTTTAATTTGATTAAATACACTACAAACGTTTTTTTTTCCACCAAAGACCAGCAACTTCCTAATGAAGGCTACTGTTTTTATGCTTTTTCCTATGCATAAACTAGTGCTCATTCCTCAGACAAGATGCTAAGCTAAACAGACATGCAGACCGATACAGTACAGCTGTTCGCCTAGTGTCCGGAAAACATTCTGCTGCTCCTTTGGTTGTCTTTGCTCTGAGAACTACTTTATCGGAAAAAGATCACTTAAGTATCTGCATCTTCCACCGCTTTATCAGATTAAGTTGTTGGTTTTGGTTTGTTTTAAAAAGTTCCTGCCAATTAAGCAACTTTTGACATACTTGACCCTTGTCAAGCCAAAAGAGCTCAGTGAACTGTTTAATTTAATTTGTACATTGTTTACCAACTCAATCATTAATAGCATACAGTCTGCACAGGTAAAATCATGGGTTTAATCAGGCCTTCGCTGATAACAGCAGCAGACAAGAATCTAAGAAAACTTCCACTACACACTGGTAAGTCCAGTGCATGCATTTAAAAATGATAACTAGAAAGAATGAGGGGGGGAAACGAGGTTAAACAGGCATATAGAAAGTAAAAAGAGACTGAAAAACTAAGCCAAATTCAATAAGGCATAAAGAAATAAGGTGGTATAAGTAGATATACTCAGAAGTCATACAGACATACTAGAACAAACATACAACAACCAAAACAAAAACCCACGCTTCAGTTTCTGAATGATCTTTTGGCTTTGATAGATCTGTACTGATAAAAGTACTCTTAATTCTACCAGATTATAACAAAAAAAAAAAACCACCACCACCCCCCCCAAAACCAACAAACACTACACCACAGATTCCTTTATTTTATCTTCCTTCCCTCGATCTCCGTACTTCTAAATTCATTCATTATGAAACTCCAGAAGCTGACGTCACAACACTCAACATCACATACAAATTGTGCCTAGACTTCTGTTAATTAAGACCATGAATCCATGGTCTGATGACTCCTAGAAGTGGTTGTAGAAATTACTTACAATTTAAAAGGGGGAAGGGGGAGACAAGCACAAAGCCATTATGATGCTGAGCTGGAAATCTGAATACTTCCAGATCTCACTGTACACAGTATAAAGTCCACGCTGTCAGGTACATAAACTTTTTGTTTCTTCTCTCTTTCAAACTACTCTTTGGGTAACTGTTTTGCACATTCTCAATATCTAAACTATACAAAAAAGTTGCAAACACAACATTCTAATTTTAAAGACCAAACTAAAAAAAGAAAAAAAAAAAAAAAAAACCAAAACAATAGAGCTGACTAAATCCAGAAATTTCTAAATAAAATATCCAAACAATGGGTATTGGATTTGCATGGCAAGGTTTTGGTAGCAGGGGGGCTACAGGGGTGGCTTCTGTGAGAAGCTGCTAGGAGCTTCCCCCATGTCTGACAGAGCCAGTGCCAGCCAGCTCCAAGACGGACCCATCGCTGGCCAAGGCCAAGCCCATCAGCAACCGTGGTAGTGCCTCTGGGATAACATATTTAAGAAAAGAGGAAAAAAAACAACTGCTGTGCAACAGCAGCCAGAGAGAGGAATGAGAATATGTGAGGGGAACAGGTGTGCAGACAGCAAGGTCAGGGAAGAAGGAGGGGAAGGAGGTGCTCCAGGCACGGGAGCAGAGATTCCCCTGCAGCCCGTGGTGAAGACCATGGTGAGGCAGGCTGTCCCCCTGCAGCCCATGGAGGTTAACAGTGGAGCAGGTATCCACCTGCAGCCTGGGGAGGACCCCACGCCAGAGCAGGGGGATGCCCCAAGGAGGCTGTGACCCCATGGGAAGCCTGCGCTGGAGCAGGCTCCTGGCAGGACCTGTGGGCCCGTGGAGAGAGGAGCCCACACTGGAGCAGGTTTGCTGGCAGGACTTGTCACCCTGCGGGGGACCCACACTGGAGCAGTCTGCTCCTGAAGGGCTGCACCCCCATGGAAGGGGTCCACGCTGGAGCAGTTCATGAAGAACTGCAGCCCGTGGGAAGGACCCACGTTGGAGAAGTTTGTGGAGGACTGTCTCCTGTGGGAGGCACCCCATGCTGGAGCAGGGGAAGAGTGTGAGGAGTCCTCCCCCTGAGGAGGAAGGGGCGGCAGAGACAACGTGTGATGAACTGACCACAACCCCCATTCCCCGGTCTCGGGAGTGAAGTTGAGCCCAGGAAGAAGGGAGGGGTGGGGGGAAAGTGTTTTAAGATTCAGTTTTTATTTTCTCATTATGTTACTCTGATTTGATTGGTAATAAATTAAACTAACTTCCCCAGGTTGAGTCTGTTTTGCCTATGATAGTAATTAGTGAATGATCTCTCCCTGCTCTTATCTCAACCCAGGAGCCTTTTGTTTATATTTTCTCTCCCCTGTCCAGCTGAGGAGGGGAGTGATAGAGCAGCTTTGGTGGGCACCTGACATCCAGCCAGGGTCAACTCACCACACAATGATTCTTTTATGGTGGATATGATCATCATTCACTCTAGAAAACAGAATTCTACAGCTGACTTTCCCACTGTACTTCAAACAGTAAATTCATGCTGTATTACAGTATTTCATATACACATCATCAGGATAATCATTAAGGAATGTTTTAAATCCAATTGTCATTTTCTATTCTTCTAAAACAATTTAAACAACTGATTATACAAACATTTGACTACAACTTAATTTCTGCTTTTCACACGCTAGCTTAAAACAGCTATCTGCAAGACCACTTTAACTGAAGTGTAAATTTAGCGTAAGTAACCTATCAACTGAAAAGGCTTTAAAAAAACTGGGGGCTGGGTGCCAAAATAAAAAGGTTCTTTAGTGTCCAAGTATAACAACTATGGTTTTATAAGCTTTTGATTTTTACCGTATGCATCTTCTAGGAAAGAATTACAACAAGATTTTCACTACGTGATTGCAAGACATACAGAAACAGCTAGAAGCTTTTGACATGAATGTTATTTCCACTTACAAAGCTTGCTTTAATGGAAATATTTAGGAAGCCTCATTCTACAAGATGAAATGTTTGGCTTCCAATTAGGATTAAAAACTTTACAATACAGGTGCACACACACCTGAACAAAGTCAATTAAATTCTTTTAAAGGAGGAGGCTTATAAAATATACTTTCTCCTACTAAAACAAAGAAGCACAGTTTACCTTGCACTGTGTATTTTGGAAATAATTTACTGGAAATCTTAACATAACCATTTCCAATTCACATGTACCACGCTAAATCAGAGATAAAATGGTTACAAAGCCATGAAAACACCAGGGTGTCTACCTAATAAGACACTGAGCAAAACTGTATACAGCTTACGAAGTTATGTAAATATTTTAATGGAACTTCTCGCTGAAACAACTGTTTGCCTTTTGACTTCAACCATATTTTCAGTTGGCCCCCCTCCAACAGGACTGAGCTAAGTGCAGCTAACAGTTTCTGCACGAATACAGTTTTACAATCCAAAACATTAAAACACCCTCAAATCAATACTAACTTCCTTTAACATAAAGCTGCACGCAGCACTTTTCAGAAGCTACGCCAAGTGTCACTCAGCCATCCTTGCATCAGCCTTAGGGAAACAGAGCGGAACCAAAAGAAGCGACCGCTTCACCTGTAATTTACTCCCTCGCAGTTCTGAGGCGGTATCCTCAGGGAATCTCGCTACCAGCACATTTACAGGCTCAAGCAATCAGGAAAATCCTGAGAAACCAGAAGGCGAGGTACATGCCCTAACTCCTCTCATCTGCTGAAGCTTTCCACCCGGGCGAGCTCTCTCCCAGCGAAGGACAATACTTACTCGCAATTAAGTTGCCGAGGCTCCCGCCCTGGACAGCGCCACCCCCCACCCCCCCCAGTCACCACAAAACCTAAGAGCCGAAGCCCGCGCCGCAAACG